CAGAATTGACCTAACAAGCTCATAAGAATTAAGGATGTATGATCCTGATTAAGTACATACTTTTCTAAAGGGTAAGAGAGGACAGCACTAAATGCTTAACATTAGACTGTGATTCCTGAAAAACAGAAGTTCTCTGTTTATTAGCAGAACAAGCACAGGACAAGAAGTGGCACAGAGACTAGGTATACTTTCTTTCAAATATACTTAATATTCAAATATACTTAATCATTTCCTTGTGAGATAGTCTTTATTAAAAATAACTTGGAAAGAGTGTTTTGCATTAATCTGACAGATTTCTGTTGTGGACTCACAATTTAAACCTGAATGGACTAAACTTGTTTTTTATTTGGTTATTTGCCTACTTTAGAGAGACATCAAAAGAAAAAAAACTCTCAATCACCGCAGTTTAGCGTGAATTTAAAATTGAGAGGAATAACAACCATTTGATTTAGTAATCCTATGAATTACCTGTTTGCTATTCAACAATCTGAGTTAATGCTAAAAGTATATAATACAATTAAGTCAAAACCTATTTATAGTACTTCTCCCAACCCAATTCCCCAAAAATCACACAGAATGGAACACCTACTAATGGAATTTTACACCAATTAAACTGGGATAAGAAAAGCTCTCCCTTTTTGGTTCTCCCCTAAAAGGACCAGAAGGAATATGATGCCTATTTCGCATGCAGCTGATACCTACTAGTCAGGGTCTGGTAATTCTTGCCAGCTCCTTGATACAAATCCTATCTAGCATACCATATATTTATTTGTTGATTCGTTTAATTTTAGTTAAAGCCTAGTTCATGAGCAGGTTATTTTCTCTGGTTTTAACAGCTTTTACTCTATCTAGCAAATATGGTACAGCTGGTTAAAATTGCTAAGACCTTGCTAATTCTATTATTCCAAAGCCCAACATGAGCTTTTATTTCTTTCTTACTACAAGTTTCACAACATGCATCTTCCTGACCAATATGTTTTAGAAAACACAGAAGAGAAACAGAAATCAGGGCTGGCCTCAGAAGCACTCGGAGACCCTGCCTGGGACCTTAGGAGCTCCTCTGCTGTGCCAAGCCGGCAGGCAGCAGCTGATGTGCGGTGACTAGAGCACACCAAGTCTGCAACCTCCAGTTACCATGGTCCCAAGTGGTGACACACAACAACCCTAACCAGTAGGGCCTGTGGCACCTGTGTTTCATTACATGGTCAAGAGCACCCAACACTGACAGAAACTGCCTTTCCAGGTGGGAAAAATGGGACTTGATAAGTAGAGGAACCAGGTCTGAGGGCTAAGGGAAGAGTTGTAGGCATGAGGCTCCACATATGTGTTTTGTCTTAAGGTGCTTGCAACCAGCATCCCATTCTAGCGGTCTGGCTATCGTCAGCCAGCCCTAACAGTAGGAAAATTTCAAGAGTTTTAGCATAACGAAAGCTGTTACTTGTCCACATATCATATCCCTTTTCCAGTATTGCTACAATTTTAAAAATGCAGTGAACAATAGTAACTTTCATTTTCAAAAGCTGAGGAAAGTAATCTCTGGTTTGGTAGATGTACCAGCAAAAAGTTATTTTTTCTTATAGCCTTTGACTTATCTGGAAGTACGTACTTTCATGTACTTCTGGAAGTACATAAAATGTGGTTTTTATCAAAAGCAGACAAAACTAGGATAAAGTCCAGAGCTATCCACTGGAGTTGAAGTATCTGTGTTGAAGGGCAGAATCCATGCTGTTCCTTCATAAACACTGATCTATTCACTTTCTCAAATACAGATCCACAGAGACTTCCTAAGGCTTTGAATAGTCGCCCCCAGCACACATCTTTGCCCAGCAGTGATAAATGCTATGGTTCTTCACCTAGTCACGTTTTCATAAAAATAAATGCCTCTTTCAATTAAAAAGATTTCCCATTCTTTTTGAAATTATTAAATTTGAGTTAGAGGGATGAGTGTTTGCTTAGTTCTAAAAGCAGGCCTAAATTCTTTAATGAGTTTAGGTTTATATAGAAATAATTACAGAAATGGTGGGCTTAGCTGTGAGAAAACATCACTCTAAGCCCCAAGCAGCAAGTTTACTCTTAGTCCTACGACTGCATCCTCCAACCCAGCGACTTAAACTCCTGCTTTCTGTCACAAAGATTTCTGCTACTGAGGATACATCCATCCTTGGTAATCACATACAAAATAATTATAAAATAATCTTCAATATATGAACTGCAGGTATTAAACTGTTTTCACCTACATCACTTATCCAAGACTGAAGATTAGAAAAGTCTTATACATTCTGGAAGTGAAAATACTGCTATTTATGAAATTCAAGTTTTAATTTTCCATTTCAACATCAGTAAAGCTAGAGATTATTTTATTAAACTATTTGTATGTCAAGCTTTCTGAAAGATTAGTGAGCACTTACATAGTACTTAATGGACCATATACATAAGCAAACAGAAATCTGACATTGTGATGGTACCTATGTGGTTTCTTTATCAGTATAAACACATGAAATTTTATTCCAATTCATACTGTTTCTTACCATCCCTATCATACTCACTGATCAAAGTTTGGTTTAGGCTTTAAATATTTAAATATTGGTCAAGAGTCCTGGGTACATAACACAAGTAGTACCTCAATCCTCCATGGATTCTTTATGTATATTGAAAGGTATCTAAATTAAATTTTGGATAGAAATCTGAATCATAAATAATCAGATGTTTTAAAAGATTAAAGAAAAAAAAATTCAAGCTATTTTCCATTTAATAATGCTATCTGCAAAGCCAAGAATGAAAGCTAAGCTTCTTGTTTAGAATTGTTTTATTTAAAAGTAGTGGGAGATTACTATACATCGTTTAAGAAGATTTGCCTCTAGTTTACAGGAGGACCAGAGAAATATACAGTAAAATTGAGTATTTAGAGACAAGTAAATTAAAACAAAGACTTGTGGGTTTCAGGACGGGGTTTTGTAATAAAACTTATCAGTGAAGAGTTCCTAAGAGCTGGTGAAGCTTTCCCTCTCAGAAGTGGCATACAAAGTAAACTGACTACCATTGAAGGTTTATGTTATAAATAGTTAAGCTTCATGGTTCCTCTGAAACTCTGAGGGGAAAAAAAAAAGCTAGAATGTAAATCTCTCAGTATCATTTTGAGTTAATCTTTAAAATATTAGATTCTAACTGTACTTTGGAATAGTTTTATAGTGTTATCAAACATTATATTAGAAACAGCCTTGATCAAGTTGTTTTCCTGTACTGGAACTGTATTTTTCAGTCGGAATTTGTGCCAATCTGATACAAGGAAAAAAGCACTCAACCGGAGTGAAAGAACACTATAAAAAGAAAAATTATGTAATATAAAAAAGATAAAGGGTTTTGTCCTCTACAAGTTGACCAGAAGCTTTAGTCCAATCTAGAAACAAGAAGCATTCGTACAAGCATCTTGGTAAAAAATTACAAGCTTTTTGTTAAATAAACGTATTTTAGAGGTTCTATGTGACTGCTTGTATAGCCTTGTTCTTCAGTTCTCTCCAAGTGTTAACGATCATTTACAATCTCTCCACTAGCTTTCTCTACAACACTTCCCTTCTACTCCTCTGAACACTTTTATTTCAAAACATCTCTACAAAACTTAGGCATAAGTTGTCACAATAGCTTAGTCATCCGATTGTGCAGTCCTTTGAAATAGTCCAATTCTAAGTGTTATAGAATAAGACCTACACAATTAAAAATTAAGTAACAAGAACTAGCCATGAATAAGTCAGTTTACAGCTGCTCGAAAAACAAACCAGCCCCCACCCTAAGGTAATCTTTAAAATAAACATCTGATGCAGAGCCAGTAATCTAACCAATGTATTACCAGAAAGCAGTGATACCACTTGCTTTATTGTATACAAACCTATGGGCTTTTAAGAAGTTGAAGATTTTTGACAGAATTCAAGACATTTATTATCATTAATCTTACTGTTCTACCATGGATGAATAATAAATATTAATATGATCCTTCTGTTTTCATAGTGGGTACTAGTTCTACTAGTCCATGCTCTTTATCAAGTACTCTTGAATATGAGGATGTGTAATGGTCTAAATAGAGCATCCCATTGCAGGTTGTGGGCTTTTTTCCACCCCCCCTTTGCCTTTTAAGCCTTTTGGTTCGCACCACTTCAGTTTAGACAGCACCACCAGGAAGCCATTCAAAAATAATTCACCATTTAAGTAGTGCAATGAGTGCCAGCCTGATACATTTCATGTAATGCATCTCCCAGTTGCATCAAAATTTCTTAAGATTAACACAGCGTACTACAGAAAAAAAAATAATTCTGCTAGGGAAACAAATTAACTTTAGTACATGTATAAGAAATGGCTGATTGACAGCTTTCCCATCATCAGAAGCTAAAGCTCTATCAGTTACTGTAGACAGCAATAAAAACCAGCTGAATTGGCAGCTAGAAGCACCGAATAACAAGATCAGTTATATTAGTGCTACAGTGGTAAACTACAAAGCTAAAGTTTGAGACAGAAAAATCCAAGTGTTTTGCTTTTAATAAATCTGGAAAATGGTCAATAAAATATACCCTAAAAATGTACATTTTAAACATACCTCAATTTAAAGGAATAAAAATTAGAAGTTTTACCCATTTTTTGTTATTTACTCCTTCCATTATTCCTCTGAAATGCACAAGTATCATTGGCAATGTATGCAGCCGAGTACCAAAATAAAGAATTCTCTTTGGAATAGTACAAAATACTTTTCAAATGTCTCTTTTCATGGTTAAAGTATTTTAAACCTTAGATTGAGAACAAGGTACTAAAAGTTTAACTGGCTCAACTAATAGTTCTGATTAGAGCCCTCTTTTAAGTCACAGACAATGTCAAAATTAATTTTGTGTTTCTCCCCAACACAACTTGCACTTTAAATATTGCTTCCTATCACCAATCGTTTTCTTAATCCATAACACAAAGGGAAATAGCTGCAGTTTTAAATACATCATATGTAGGAAGAAACGTGCACTTACCAAGTGAACATAAGGCACAAAGTATCCAAAAAGTGCAGCTGGGATCCCCAAAGCCCAGATTCTGTAACTGAGAACTTTGAAAACGGAGAAATTGCAAATCTTTTTTTCAGGACGAAATCTGAACTTTCCCTTCTTTCCTCCCTCCTTGTCTTTGGCATTGGAAACAAGGGGCTTGTACGTAAAGCCAGCCAGGAACAGAATAAAGATAAGGATGCACAGGACCCGCAAGGTGTTGTATAGGCCAACAGAATCGATCAAAACTCTCAAGAGGAAGGGCAGTGACACGGTGAACAAGCTGCTGCCTGCAGTGACAATGCCATTCACTAGTCCAAGGCGTTTCTTGAAATAGTGCCCGAGAATGACCAAGGATGGCTGGTACGCAAATGAGCAGCCACAGGCAAATAAGACTCCATAGGTGAAATATAGAGGTTCAATGGTGCTACATCAAAAGAAAGAAGAAAAAAATCGTTAGTGTTTTGTACAACACTGTATGCCCACGTTCACCTACCATATGCAAGACAGTTTTTCAATGAATTGACATATTTACAGAAGTGAGTTAAGAGTTTGTATGTACTTATAGTTGAACTACACTGTGTCAGCTTAATTCAGCAGTTGTTCTGTTTTCTTCCACTGAAAATTTCATAGAATTCACTGAACAGGTAAAAAGGCAATATTACATTTAAGTATAATTACACCAAATAGTCTGACTAAAAGAAAGTTTTAAAAATCATTGTCAGGCTGAATTAACCAAATATAAGTTCAACCATTGCCGGGTTTTTGTTTTTTTCTTTTCCAAAGAAAGTTATATTGTTTGATTTACGCATTTCTTCACTGTGCTAGCAGTTCAAACATAATACCGAACACTCCTCATGAACTCAGAAAAATCAAGTACTTACATAGTTTATTATGAAAATACAATAGCAAAAGTAGTAAACATCATTAATAATGAAAAATAAAACAAAATACGGTCGAGTTTTGGTAATATAATACATTATTAGCAAATGATACTTTTTAGGTATTATTTTTAGACAAATAATCCCCTTTTTAATAAATATTCTAAATTCAGTGTTTTGATCCAGATATTGGATGTGCTAAGAAAGAAATAGGAGAAAACGTTAATAAAGAATGAAACATTTCAGCTCATATTAAGGACAATCTTCATCACAAGGTTCTCCACCATTACCATCTACTGTACAACTGAAATGAAGCAGAGCCGTTGTGTTACATCACAGGCGGACATGTGACATTAAAAGGTATTGTTCAAGAAGTCTTTAACAGTATGAAGTAACAGTGTTAGTACAACTAAATTAGTATTATAGTATTAATAAGTCAAAGGAAACTTTTTTTTACATTTAGATGAAGGAGGCAATGAGTGAGAAGTGTTTTTATACAAGATTTGAGGTGGCACATGACGATTTAATTTTTTTTTTTTAATACTATGTTTTCAATGAACCATGGGCTCTTTTTTATCAGCTAACACCTGCTTTTAAAGAAATTACAGAAAACCATTTAACTTGTTAGCCAATATATTAACTTTTTTTTTAAGGAGTATGAATGCTTTACGTTGTGCTTTTCATCATAGGATGTTACCTGCCAGCATCCCTCTATACCAAAATACACTCCACAAGCTTACCATGCAATTACAGAAATTCTTAGAAAATAGTATTTGACTAACAAAGGTCTGACACCAGGAACTCTGGTTTTGTGTATTAGTGTGAGAAAGGAAATTTGTGTAACATAATATTGTTGCTTTCTACATTAAAGTATCAATTTCTAAAACTGATTATACAAAATGTAAGCCAGCAGAAACAATGTAAGGGGGAAAGACTGATTACCTTTATCAATGGAAAATAACCAGAAAAAATAAAAATGGGAGTTATAAAATGAGAGGAGGAAGATAATACAGTAAGGACAGAACTTCTGCTTCCATCTGTAAATTCATTCAAAAAGTTTGCAGCATGGCATACATAGTAAAATATTTTCCTGCATTACAAATACTCTTACATCTCAGCTTCCTAAGAGATAAAATTTATATTAAGAAATCAACATGTAACAAAAGCAGTATATCATATTTACATTTATTTACTGTACAATATTTTACTTTTAGAACATTGACTTCTATATCTGAACTATACTCCCTCAATTAACTGGTAACATCATAGGCATAAATCATTTCAGTGTAAGTAACATAATGAAACACCAAGAATGCACATGAACATGGCATGTACTCTAATAAGAATTCACCTCTCCTCTCAAAGTGTTCCTCAAATTCTAAAATAAAATTCAAATAAGCTAAAACAGTTTTAAAACCCTTACAAAATAACTTCCTTTTGCATGTCTCTTCTGTGCCCTTGTTCCATTGGATATCAGGGAAACACAAGGATGATAGCATTTTGTTCAAAGGAAGAAAACTTCTTTTCTTTATCAAGAGGTTTAACTTATAATAACGATGCTGTTTTAGTATTCACCACTTAGCCCACTACTGGTAAGCAAGGAGGAAGAAAGACTTTTCCAAAATGCATTCTTTTAGTTTTTACCTCACCTGTGGTAACAAGCCTCTTAAAACATATCAGGAAGTGGGTTTTTTGTTTGTTTGCTTTAATAAAATTAATTAAGCAAAATATTTTGCACTTGGATTAACCAAAAAATAAAATAAAAATCATAAACTTGCTCATGTAACAAGAAAACAAAGCTTTCTTTTTCCCATAAATATAAGTTATTCCAAGAATAAATATAAACACTAGTCTCAGTACCTAAAACAGAACTATTTTGTCTTCTCTTCCTGTAAATTTGTGGATATGTTTTCACATTAGGGGACATGCCCAAACCAGACATATTAGCTCAGGCATAACGCCACACAGCATGGATATTCATCCATCCAGATCACAGCCAGCTCACATCTATCTGGTTCACATAGAAAACACATTTTAACAAGCCTGTCTGTATAGATACATTTTCATCTATGTAGAAAACTTCTGAATTTTGCTTTTGATTGTTCCTGTACTTACTCTGCTAAGGATGGGGGAAAAAAAGCAGACTGAGAATTAAAGGTAACTGTAGCTTATTTTCCTGCTACTTCTTACCCTATCTTCACTAACTAATTTCTGCTGATTACTAGAATAAGTGAGTAAATCTCATGTTTCTTTATCTTCCACTGGGCACGTCCAAAAAATCAACCGCTCTTGCACTTCTTAAGATTTATTCTGCAAAAGTTACAGTAATGTACAAAATGAAGTGTAATCTGGAGAAAAAAAAAACTACTGTTCAAGTTTTTTCAATAACACAAGAAAGAACTGAGATTTTTCTTAATAAAGCCAATAAACCCTAAGTGTATGTCGTTATACCAAGGTTTTCACTATCTCCGTGTTTAGCAATTGGACCAGTAAGAATAGAAGAAAACATCAAATTTTACCAGAACATTACCTTCCTGGAGGTCCTACTACATATTTATCAACATTAAAACAGTTTTATAAAAGCAAATTGAGGGGACAGGGTGAAGGAAGACAGAAACAATGTTTATGTACCCGCTAAAACACAGCGTACATCAAGCATAAAAGTTTATCCAGGACAATGCTGTTGATCTTATAGCATTAGTCTTGCTGTTGATACATTTATACATAGTGGTTCCTGGTTAAATAGGGAGTGCTGTGTTATGAGGTTATATTGTATTTTAAATTACATTTGAAGTTGAAAGTACCACTTGGAGTTTTCACAAGTCATAGGTATAAAGACAAAAACAAATAAAACAAGGTTTCTACTCTAACAGATAAAATGCCACTGCTTACTCCTTCATATTCTGGTAGGATCAGCATTACCTCTACACTGTAAAATTGATAAAATACTTGGAATATAAAGAATTTTTTACCTTACAAAAGAACTTGAAAGGAGTCCAGCAAAGCCTACTGCAGCTCCAATAACAGCTACTTTTTGACAACCAAACAGGTCTGTGAATATGCTGACTATTGGAGAACAGAAGAAGACTATCCCCATAGAAAGAGAGCTCACCCATGCTGCAAAATAGAAAGAGACAGCGTTTTAGAAGACCAAGTGATTTAAGCTTTCAGCTAGTATTTGTTTTAGTTCAGCAACATAAAATCTTAGATAAAAGTTGGGTAACAATTGGGTAACTATTTTAAAAATATTTAAATACATTTTTAAATATATTTTCCTAACATGGTAAAAAAAGCCTGACCAATTTACATAATCAACTAATTTAGACTTTATCAGCTCAAGGAATGCAGTTAGCTACAGGAGTTATTACTACTTTTTTTTTTTAAATCCACAATTATTCCTCCAGTAACTAACCTAGTATTCAAACTGATGACTAGGCCATTAAAGATACCTTTGAGGATCCATATCCATTCTGACATCAATTAACATATTTCACTTGATTTAATTCTAGACTTTAATGGCTTTAAACAGCTAGGTTTGCTGAAAAAAATTAACAAATTTTTAACTTAATTACATAGCTCTAGATCATACTGAACATTAATAATGAGTAAACTATCAACAATAGGCTTTTATACTGTAATATACACATTAAGAATATGATTTTACTTTAAAAGAACTTGAACTGGTACAACCTTTTCCATATATAATGGGAAAACGTCACTACATCTGATACTGCTTTACAGACATTGTTAAAACTGTACTTTGTTTATAAATGAGATCATTACAATTCAGTTCAGGTGCATACACTAAAGTTCAAGTCACAAGTGTGTTTTTTATTCCAAGTGTACCAAAAATATCTTCAAATAACTTAGGTAGAAAATAATTTGATTCATTTTATATTAAAAGTCAGCTTTCTGCTTCACTTTATACAGGTGTTCAGAACCACACTATTTACCTGCTATCACCTAATCGTTCTTTCAAACATGCATTACTGATGTTACACCCCACAGTTCTCCCAGGGCATAAAGGTAAATCAAGCTGTTGTAGCACAATAGTTACAACGAATACATTCAGGTGGGTAAATGTCACCCTCTATGTGGAAAAAAAAAATTGGTCTAAATGGGTAGTGGAAAAAGCTGCTGATGCAAGATGCATTGGAAAAAAGTATTTTAACTTCTTTTTGAATTGTACGGAAGATGAAAGAATTCTTTCAACCTGGAATGGATTTAAATCTGTGCAACTGAAATTTTGTTTAGAATATGTTTCCTAAAGACAGTTAGATAAACAATTGTGATTCAGTGATAAGGGCAAATAAAATTATCTGGAAAAAAAATATAGCCAAGAGACCTAATGAAGAATATTTGCAAGTATATCTACCAATACCAAGACTTAGAAGTAGTAGTGTTAAAGCGCCAATGAGCCCTACACATTGATGAAGGCTCAATTGTGCAAGGCACTAAAGAAAACAGAGCAAAACAAACAAGCAAACAAAAAAAGATTGTTTCTTCAGAGAGTTTACAATGTAAGTGAAATGAAAGACAAAAGAGAACAGATGGCTAGAGAAAAACAGAAGTGAGCGTACAAGAAATAAAACCTTTATTTTAGGGCAAACAATGATCTCAATGAACCATGACCTAACTGTTTGGGGCGAGGGGGGTGCTATTGGGGGTTTTTTGAGCATGTGATAAATACAATGGAGTTTCAAGGCACAATCTGAAGAAGAGTGAGGTACTTTTATGGGCATTTCCTCCATTTCCTGGGTATGACTAACCCAGACAAGATAGCCCTGCCAGCCTCGCACCTCTGCAGCGGAAGCATGAGCTGTATGAAGGGAGAGCACAAAAGACTAGGAAAAAACAAGGCCCCTGTGACACTGACTAAAGGGCAAAGACCAAATTTGGGAAAGGTCTGTCCTTTCTCTTCCTCCACAGTCAAGGAAGGCTCAAACGCACCTTGGGTGTGGCAAGAGAGGACTTAAGAGATCTGTCCCATTTTACAGCCCAGATGGCTCCTGATGTTGCAGGACAACATTATACCAACTACAATTTGTAAGCAGGAGTCAGAGGGAGTAAATGCTCTCATACAGCCTGGAGACCAACCAGTTGTGAAGCTTCTAAGTAGTCCAGCTTCTACAAGACTCCTCATCTTTTTACTTATCTTTCCCAGAGTGAGCTATATAAAGGCTGCAGTTCTACTGTCCAAAGGAAACTGCAAACACTAGGAAGTAGAATGTCCATGGCTTCCTGTCACCCCCCCTCCCCCCAAATAAATGGTAGCTCCACCACCACGAACAGTCCTCAGCATCTCTGCATGACTTGCAGGGCAGCACTAAGAATCACAGAGTACCTGTGACACCTGGGGTATCTTCAAGGCCAAGAGAAAAAGCAGCTAAATATTGAGAAGTGGGGATTAACAAGACTCACTGTCATCAGATTCACAGTGGTGTGAAGGTACCAAGGAACGGTTGAACCTCCTGCCAGCCTTCCTGCCTAGGTATGAGAAGACAAAGGCAACTGTGGCACTATAAGCCCACCAGAGGTTACTGGTTATGAGAATCCAGTCTCACATGGACAGGTACATGCACCCCATTCATGGAGACAAACAGGTAAAGAAACTGGGCAACTGAAACAGAGTTTAAGTAGCTTGCATAAAGTCACAGACTAAATTACTTCAGAGCCACAGATAAGAGTCCAGCAGTCCTAATTTCCAGTTAGCACAGGCTGTGATTCAATTAGCATTCTCCTTAGTGAAATCAAATAGTTTACAGTACTTTTTAATAGCTTATACAGCTAATAAAATAATTGGAATATAAAAGGCTGAAGTGCAAACATTCAGCTCAAATTACGTTCAGTTAACAACACGCTGACTTGGTCTCTTCATGCTTCCAGGTACTAATGGAAGAAATATGCCTCTCATCACTTGATTCTCTCTTTTTTTTTGTTACAGCAATGACAGGCTAAGCCTAAAAGAGAAGAAAGGTTCCCACTGATTTTCAACGCAACAGACAGTGAAGAGGAAGGACAATGGCCTTATCTGAAGCATTTCAGAATGGCACTGCGATTAAACTGAAGTGGGAGCCCATGCTTTACCACTTACCTACCTAATGGAAACTGGAGTCTTGTAAATTACAACTTTAAGTTAATATGAGGCTCTTGGTCCTACAGAAACGTAACTTAAAGACATGTTGTTGGCATGTCTTGTATGAACAGCTTTGTTATTTAATGAAAAGAATGTTATTGACATTTAACTTCACATGTATGCATAGTTCAAGAAAATTTACTTTATTCATCCTTTGTGAAGAAACCTAGCAGCAAAAAGAATCAAGATATAAACAGAACAGCACATGTGTAAATCGTTTATTTCCTTAAGGCAAATAATTCTTGCTGCAATATCTTGATCCTATGAAGAAATTGATGGCTATAAAACATATTAAATAGATTCAGGTAATTTTCAGTTTCACTTTGCTCAAGTAAGTTTTCAAGTATTCTTATACTTTTTCACTCAGTATGAAAAAGGTACAATGAATTGTCTTCCACATTTTTTAAATAAATTACAACTGCCCCAAACAAGTAATATGAAAAGTTACAAATGCAACTTGCCAGAATAATGAGAGCTCTCTAGAGCAGTCATTACATATTAATTAAAACATTTCCCTCCTCCAGGCTATTGGCCCCTTTCCTGGCCACAAGCTGGCTATATTCCAGAGCTGCTAATTCAGATACTAATACAGCACTTAATTGCTACATACAACTGCATTCATATTCATACACAAAACATTTTGATTGCCATAGAAAAGCTATTCCTACTTTAGGGACTTAAGCCTTCCTTAAGGCACTGGAAGTTAAGAATTAGCCCCTCAAAATGTGTAACTGCAGACTAACCAATTCCCAAGCTTCCCTAGAAGATGGAACAGAAGTTATCCTTAAGATAAAAGTATCAGACCAGAAAGCCTATTGGTAGCATCTATACTGAAAAGTCTGTTTCTGTGCCATTGAAACACAAAATAGATTACAAAAAAACTAAGCTTTATTATAACTAAAATTATTCCAAAATGAAAGGTCACAGCTACATGTTCTTTTCTTATCAGTTCACAACAAATGTATGTACTTCAGCTATAATCTGAATATATATTCTCATATTTCTTTATTTCTGTTCAAAAGTCTACAGCAATGAAACTATACCACATACTCCACAAATATGCTGCTGTTTTACCATGGTGGTTTTGTTTTGGTTTTTTTTTTTTTGTTTTTTGTTTTTTTGAAGATCAGCCTTATTTTAAATGGTCTTTTGTCTTCAGCTATAAACATAGTATCTAATATCTGAGCATTCACAAAATCATTGCCATCGTCACAGCTAGATTATTTAATACATATTTACCTACCATACTACAAACCAAGCTGTTAAATGTTTTAGTTCATTCTTTAGACTCAAGCACTAGGACTTGAGTCCTAGTCCTAGACAACAGAAAAGAAAGCATTAATACCATATCCCATGGGAATGCTTTATCATGCATAAATTCAAATAAAGGCTACTCATCCATAGCATTCCTCGTCAGTTAATTTTTTTTTACTATGTATTACAATAAAAATCTCATCAGTTTTATCCTCACAAGTGTCTTTCAAGTGGTTGGCTTAACACAGTAATAACACCCTTCATTCTTTAATGAACTTCAAGGGTTTGTTTTTTTTTTTTTAATATCTTCCCCTAAGATTTTTCTGGTTGAGACAGGGAACAAAAAACTACTGTCTGGAAGACAAGTGATATGAGGCAAGTGAAGAGAAGAATATTTAAATTGAGGATTTAAAATCAACTCAAAAATATTTTGTTTCCCCACATTAAAAAAATCAGATGTGTGTTTGCGTAGCTCATGCAGCAAACCAAGAGAGCAGTATTATTACAGTTCACTGGATAGCTTGCAGAATAATCTGTTTGACACTACACATACTAAGAAGCACAGACTGTGGAAAGTGAGAGCAAGCTTTCTACATTTAATATAACATTCTCATGTGCAAAGACCTATAGCTACACTGGTTTTAAGCACTTGTAAAATAGACTGGCCAATCATCCCCTAAACCAGTACCTCTGCTCACTGTCAAACATCCTTCCTAAAAATCAGTTC